CTGGGAGTCATAACATACAACCGTTACCAAGCTGTCACGAGGCCCATTTCAACAGTTCAGTCCAGCACACGAAGAAGAGGAATTTATGTTACATCGGCTATCTGGGTCCTAATCGGTGTTCCTTCCATCTACTTTTTAGTTGATGATGGCACAACCGCCGAGGGACACCTGACTCGCTGTTTTGAGCGCTATGACACCACCAGTAATACAACTCCTGTTTTTGCCTTCCATGTGATTATTTGCATTTGTTTCTTCATTGCTTTCCTGCTTGTCTTGGTATGCAATGCTTCCATTATCTGTACATTGCTTTCAAAACCAGTGCAAACGCGGAGGAGCGCCCGTGTCAGGCAACGGGCTCTTTGGTTAGTGACTACAGTTTTGATTGTCTTCATTCTCTGTTTTGTGCCTCACCACTTGGTGGATCTACCCTGGACTTTGATGGTTCTGAACATGTGGGACATAAGCTGCCAAAAGCAAAAACTATTAAATGATATCCACCAGGTTACCCTGGTTCTTCTGGGTGCCAACTGTGTCTTGGATCCTATCATTTATTGTTTTCTCACAAAAAAATTCAGGAAACATCTTTCTGAAAATTTGAAAAATATAAAAGATAGTCGAAAGTGTTCCAGGCAAACAACTGAGACTGGAATGGAAGGGATGGTGCAATTAGATGATTGTTTTCCTGCATCCCCCAAACCTTAAAATTAGTTTGAATGCAACAGGGAGGAAGGTACTTCTGTAACAAAAAACAAAAAAAAAACCCTGCCAAAGAACATACAGTTGGTTATATTATCATTTGCATGTGTTAAAGGACAAATGTATGCTGTATACAAATTAGAAAATACAATGTCTCTTACAGAGAGCAAAGATTATAATAGACTTTGTGTGTTTATTTGATTTGCTGCCCAGATGCTAACTAAAGATGGCCAGCTGCTGAGGCCTACTTTTCATTCTTAAGGAAACAGATTGAACATCTACACTAAGAGACCTTCTGATTGGAAATTGTCAAGTGGAATGAACTGATAACTTTCTTACAGAAGACCAACATTTACTTATCAGCATCAAGTAAAAGTTAATGACTAGCAAGACTTCTGGGCAATTTAGGACTGCAACTGTTGTCTAAAAACAACAAGAACTGGAGGCCATGTAACACAAATGCAAAATTTGTGAAAGATGACATATCTAAAATGAGATGACTTTGGGATTTGGGAAACAATTTGTGAATCTCTTATTTGAAAGATGGATAATACATTGTTGCAGTTGTGATGTAATATGTATTTGATAATCAGTATTTTTTTTTATTTTCATTCTGAGCTCCTTCTAAACTCTTGGGCATCATTTGGCACATATTAGATCTCCCTTGGGAAGTGCCAATACCTAGGACAGGGCGATAGATTCTTTTCCATCATACATTCCCTTCTCACGGATATACTCTTGCTCTTGCTTTCTTGCCATTCCTTCATATCAAGAAAGGCTGAGAGATACAAGTCAAAACTTATAAATGTACAACTTAACACTTATGGGTTAGTGAAGAATCCATATGCAAATTTAGAAGCTGAGACAGGAAACAAGACCTATCCTGAAACAAGCCTGGAGTATGAGAGAACCAATACCTCTAGGTCCCTCAAAAATGAATTCTCATTCTTTTCTTTGCAATCATATCTGTTAAAATAAAAACTACATTACAAATTTAGATGACTTTCGGCATATTATGCCCATTTCAATGTATTTTCCTTCTCCACATCTAACCTTTCACAATTTGACAAGCACACATATGAGACAGGAGCCTCTTCTACACATGAAGGTTGTTCTTGATTTAGAATGCTGAATATGGTAAGGAATGTTTGGCTTTCTTAGGAGACCCAACTGTTTCCTAATATTTCATTTCTATCAGTTGCTTTGTAATAGACTAACCTAACAATGTTAAAAATATGAATAGTAATGATTGTTTTATTAAATCTCTGAATTAGTAGACATGTGCTTTTATAATGTTGTACAATGAAGGACTATGGATCACTAATGAAAAAGTGATGATGAAGAATGTTACTGTCCATTTTTTAAAAGATAAAAATATATCAGTATCTCAATTATTGTATAGAAGACTATAAAAGACAACCATAAGCTAGTAGTTGGTCCGGGAAGGGGAAAAAGATTGAAATGTATAGCTGGTAACACTTTTATTAGAACCACAATGTCCGAAAAGATTATCCAAGATTTGAAGCTCACCAGGCTTCCAACTTTACTATAATTTTGGGTCTCTGTCCTGGAAAAGACAGATACTTTGAGTGAGGATGAATTCTCCAAACTTTGCCCTCTAGAAACGTAACCAATGTTTTGGTTTATGGTTCTGTTTTCTTAATGGATATCAGTGTGGAAAAAAAGAACATATGCCTTCAGGACAGAGTTCTCATGCTTTCACTGAGAGTCAAGAACAAAAGCCTTTTGGATCAAACCTCTGGCAGAAAATTGGCTGAATAGGTGACAAGAATTATGGGCAGAGGGAGGATAGCAGTTGTTTACACTCAGCAGCTGTAGATGACCAGGCTGAGTCCCAGGGAGGGTTCAAACGCATCATCAGTGTCTTAGCACCCATAAGAGATCTAAGTCCAGCCCACCTTGACTTCCTTATTTACCACCAAATTACTTTAACTGTTAGTTCAAATTCTTGTAGACAGCTTAAGCTTGCAATAAATTTTTATACCCATTTGAACTGCCTGGATCCCCTGATTTCTCTGGTGACAGAAGCTATGGAATGGTTCCCACAACAATCTCTTTCCGTGCTTTTACTGTTTATTTATAATACAGACAACTATCATGTGAGGTTACCTCTGAGTATGTCTGTATTCTGCATTCCATTTGCCATAAATTATCTTTATCTAAAATGTTTTCAAATAGTTTAGTTTGGAAGTCCTGCATTTTTAATTACCTACCAACTTGAGATTTATTAAAAGCACATCAGAGGTTTTATTCTAATTGTGAAGCTCCTGCAGGTATTTTGTATACTGGTATTTGCTGCTTTAAAATAAGATTGCAACCTGGAGAACATTTATTGGTACTATTTTTTTTTGCTTTTAATGACCCGATAATCCCTGAAATAATTATTTTCTAAATAAAACAAGAGAACTGCAATAATTTAGCATACTAGAAATGTTTCCCTGAATTCAGTGGAACATGTCTTTTGGAACAGGCCAACTGGAGACAGTAACTTGGTCCTTCTCACAAATAAGACCAAGGAGCTTATAGAACTGGACTATAGAAGGTACAGATCAGACATCTCAAAGCATTCTCAAAGATCCATCTCATTCTGGGCACCCTTTTTTTGAACTATAGGCTGAAAAACAGCTTCTATCCCAGGGTAGTAATTCTAATGAATTCTATTGTATAATAAACACATATGCACATCCTTCACATTCTATACATTGAATTGAAAACCCCTGATATTGCATTAATATTGCACTCAATATTAATGCAATATCAGGGGTTTTCAATTCAATGTATAGAATGTGAAGGATGTGCATTTGTGTTTATTTTCATAGTCATAACTGAAGTTATTTAATTTCGTTGTATGAGGTGCAGTGGCACTAAACTAAACTAAACTTGCCTAAAATTTTAAATGTAACTTGATATGCTAGCCTTCACAAATCTTAGTGGTGACATGGATTCCTATCACACTAAACTAACCCAACCATACATTGTCAAATGGAATTTAAGTCTTAGTAGGATGAAATCCAATCAGTTATGGCTTATTTAATTTGATAAATACCATGTGTAAATCTATTCAAGATCTTTTTGTATCAGAGGTTAACTATTTTGAAATTAATTTGCTGGGATTGAGTAAGCAGAGTTCATATCAATGTGTAAATGTAATTTAAACCATATACAAAAACATATTTTACTTACAACTTAGTTGCCACAAATGTGAGATAGAATATAAACGGCCACTAGATGGGAACTGAGAAACACAAAAAAAACTTGTACCCTCAATTAATGGTCATTTTAATTTTTGAAGCCCGTTAAAAGATGTTGGCTGCAGTATGTCTGTATAGTATACATCTCTCCAACCTCACTAACGTTAAGTATTTACGAAGTGGTGGTGGGGGCTTTGCCTGAAGGCAGCCAATTCTATTATCAGCTCTATTCCCGCATACTCCATTTCATCAGGACAGTTCAAAAGTAGCAGCTGCATTTGTGAAGTACGCTATGCGTCATTACAGTAACGTTAACTCTGATTTTTGTGGGTTGGGTTTTTTTTTTTTTTAGCATGAGGTGCAAATCCAAATCCAACCTGTTCTGAGTTAGTTTATGATTCAGTGCAGAACTTCGGGCAAACAGCCGGTTATGGCTCCCCAAAGGAGGCGGGCAACCCCTACCGGCAAAGAAAAGTAATAACGTGAGGAGTAAAGATAGCGAGAATCCCCTCGGCTCAGTCCCGTTTTGTTTTTACTTGCCAGTTCAATGGCAATAAGAAAAAGGCGCGACCATTCCTCGCCGCACGGCCCAGTCTTTCGTGTCTTCCCTCTCAACCTCCTTCCCAGACATTTTGAATGATGGATAAACACCTCAACCGTGGTGCCGGTGACGGCCGCCGACAGTAAACACTCCCACCAATCCTATCCCGCCTCACTTTTTCCGTCACTTCCGGCAAGGAGTTTCCGCTTCCGGGTCTCAGCCAAGCGGAGGCTTGCCGAAAGGGGTTCTTTTTCCGTTCTCTCTCTTTCTTTTATTTTTTTTTAGGGTTTTTTGTTGTTGTTGTTCTGTTTGGGAACCCAGCCCGTCGCCGGAGCCGCGGTTGTCGTCATCAACTCCACCATGTCACCTGGCGCCAAGGCCGGCTCGGCAAAGGTCTCCTCACGGTGAGAGAAAAAGAGCTTTTTTCCCCCTTTCCCTTCTCTCGCGCGATCGGCGCACGGGCCGGTGGGCGTGGCCTGGGTACCCGCCTCCAAAGGCTGTTTGGCACCCCTCCCCCCTCCTCCGGCATCCGTGAATGGGGGGAGGGGAGAAGAGAGGGTAGGTGGGAGGGGCTCGTCTCCTGCTGCACCCGGGATAGGAGGCGGCGGCGGCGGAGGAGCGCGTCACGAGTCGTGCCCGCAACCTGTGGAACTCACCGCCACGTGATGTGGTGACACTTCTGATCCCCCTCAACCCCCCGGTTTTCATGGCTTTAAACGAGAAATCGAGTGCATGGAGAAGGAAAAAATCTGTTTGCGATGGTTTTTCTAGTGAAAACCAGGACTTAAGGTAGCATGTTAGCCTAACAGGGTTGCTTACTTGTCGGTTATGTCGTATATGTGGTTATCTATATACATAATTTTGTATTTATTTATTTATTTTGTCGTGTTGATGTAGTGTATATTGGAGGTGGTAAACCTTTGAGAGCTGTATGCAACGAAATTTCATTTTAATGTACGCCGATTAGTGTACATTCAGAGTGACAATAAAGTTATTGTTCTATTCTTATATTCAGGGGTGGGATTCTTCTGGTTCTGTCCACTTCCATAGAACTGGTTGCTCTGAAGAGCAGCAAACAGAGAGCAGACATAGAACCAGTTCTATGTTTGCTGCTCTTTTGGCCCACCCGCCTGCCCGGGGTCTTACCTGACCTTTATTTCCTGCTTTTTCAACCACAGCTGCTTTGCGTGGCACAGCTGCGGAAAAAGCAGGAGAAAAGGGTTTTTCCAACCGCTGCGCACTTGCACGCAGCGCTGCTCAGCTGTCCGGGCACCTCAGCATGTCGTAAATTGCACTCGCGTGACTCAGGCACACGCGACGCAGAGCAACAGAACCAGTAGTTATACCGGTTAGATTCCATCCCTGATTATATTTATATATTATATTTATTATATTTTTATAATACGTTTGCCAAGGAGAAAACAGAGGTTTTCAGAATCTCAGACTGCCTTTGAGGAGCTCATCCTAATCTCCAAATTTTATAGATCTCCTTTTATAGATTCTGATATTGTCAGTCTGTTAGAAGATTTCATCAACTGAAGCAGGACTATGGGTTAGCAATAAAATAAGGTACAGGTAGTCCTCCACTTACAACAGTTTGTTTAGTGACCATTTGAAGTTGGCACTGAAAAAAGTGACTTGTGACTATTTTTCCTACTGGTGACAGTTGCAGTATTCCCATGGTCATGTGATCAAAATGCAGGTGCTTGTTTATGACAGTTGTGTTCTGGGGTCATATAAACAACCTTTGGTTCTGACAAGCAAAATCAGTGGGGAGGCCAGAATCACTGTTGCTAATTTAACAACTGCAGTGATCCACAACAAATGTGGCAAGAAAGGTCATAAAATTGGGCAAAATTCACTTAACAAATACCTCACTTAGCAATAGAGATTTTGGGCTCAATTGTGGTCATAGGTTGACCACAACTACTTTCTCTACAAATGATAAATTGGCTTTAATGATTTCAAAGTCTCAGCAGAAGAAGCACTGAATGCATCATAAAGTTGTTACTTCTTTAAAAAAAATGAGTAAAAATATGTTGGACACGTGTTATCATGACTTTTAAATGTATATTCTTTTATCCTTGGCTACTCACCTCACTGCCAGAGCTTTAAGGAACTGAAATCATAAAATGTCTGATATGTGATGATGACATCCTTGTGTGGAGAGAACAAGTGCAATAGAATAGGAATAGAATAGAATAGGAATTGAATTGAATTGAATTAGTTATTGGCCAAGTGTGATTGGACACACAAGGAATTTGTCTTGGTGCAAATGCTCTCAGTGTACATAAAAGAAAAGATACATTCATCAAGAGTCAAGAATCATCAGGTACCACACTTAATAATAGTCATAGGGTACAATAAGCAATCAAATCATACTAGGAAACAGTCAATAAAAATCATTAGGATACAAGCAACAAAGTTACAGTCATACAGTCACAAGTGGGAGAAGATGGGTGAAAGGAAGAATGGGAGGATTAATAGTGATAGTAATGCAGACAGTATAAGTACCTGAACTGCAAATGAGCCAATCATGGTTTGGCTACAAAATTAGACTGAGAAGAGCATTGTCCTGGTGATCATGGATAGGTGTTGTACGATATTTTGTATTTGTATGTTGAAATGAATCCTTGTTCAATTCATTTCATTTTCTAGTACCCTTTTTACTTATAATTTTACAGAATAATAAAATAGGACTATGGTCCTTTACACAGTTAGGAGTCTCAAGGAATCTAATGGGATTTCCTTTTGTGAAGATGAATAGAAGATTACATTGTACACTAAATGGTTTATAAAATATTTCATTTTACTTTCCTGTTAAGAATTATATTTTTTCTCTGATTATTTTTATAGCAAAATATATTTTAATATTTGTGCTGAAGGGATAGGACTCATTCAGAGATAAAGATTATGAAACTACATTTTCTGTGTTTATTACAATCAGCACTATTCACACCATATGGGTTTTAAGAGATAAAAAATGTTTTTAAAATAATTTAAATAAAAGATTTCAGGAAAATTCTAATTTTCTACATTGAAAGAAATTATCTACTTCATTTTGATCTTTTTGGTACTTTTTGGGTTGTTAATCTCAATTGCTGAATTCTAAATAACATGTCTCCTTCATGTTTGTATGACATTGAAGCCAGAGCAGTAGATTAATGCAATATACTAAACCTGCTCTGGAAAGAAAAAAAAAGATAAAAGCTAAAACTAGATTTGAAATCCATCTACTGTACAGTATTTTTAGTTCGATTTTCATAAAAATGGCTTCACCATTTCTAAGAATAAATCCATTTGACTTTATTTGTACTTACAGCTCTTCCTGTACAAAAATATATTTAGAAAACTGGATGTTGTCATGAAGCAGGAAAGCAGATTTTTTAAAAATATATTTGCTATTGGTTTTGACTTGGAGCTTTTAGATGAGTGGCTTGCTGTCTTATTAACTTAAGAATATTTTATGGTGGGCATTATTGATTCAATAAAATTCCTTAGTAACATTAGAATAAGTAAAAAACTCATATATGGTACAGACAGCTGAAAATTTGAAAATATTATCAGCTTGTTTATTGCAGGCACTAGCACATTTTTTCTATGTCTTTGAACCGTTAGCACGGGACTATTTCCAATTATAAGCCAAACAAACAAGAGTGAAAATGTGAATAACACTGAACTTACTTTGCCATCACATCCTAAGTTTCAGGCCAAGAATGGATGACTAAAAATCTCCATAGAGATTAATTTTCAGACATTTTTAAAAATCTTATTTTAATGAGAATTTTCTCAGTAAAAAAGTGATAACACTGCAGTTAGGTTGTTACCTGGGAATAAATCCCATTAATCTCGGTGATTCATGCTTAAGAATTTGTGGGGTTTGGGTTGGATTTGTTTTGAATTGGTGGGGTTTTTTGGGGGGGGTGTTAAGAATTCTAGAGGCATAGGATTGCATCAGCTAAAATTGTGTTGAATACAGTTTTATACAAAACATGATTTAAATTAACTCTTTAAAGTATTCATGAATTAAAATTTAAAAGCCGATTGTTGGTAAATCAATTCAAAGATCCTAATCCAATGGCACATTACTGATAAGGAATCTTACAATCCTGCTGGCGGTACAGAAGGACTGTTAAGTGAATGTATAAATAAGATTTTTAACAGATAACGTTATTAAGCTGTTGGTTTTTTGTTTTTAATTTTTCTATGAGTCAGGGCAAGCTGAAATCTTGTCTTCTTGCTTTTATCATAATAAATGTTTGTAGATCATCAGCTGAGGCTTGCAAAAGGAGTAAAAAAAGTTTTTACCGTATTGCAGAACCACTGTATTGCGAAACCTTAATTTTGAAAATATTTCAAGCAAATTCACTTTTAATAATCATTATGTTTTTTTAGGCATCAGGTAATTTTTTTTCCTCTTAAATATTTTTGGGCACTGCATTACAACAATTTTCTCAAGTATTGAAAGTAGGGATTGTAATATCACATTTGCTTATAGCTGTTAAACATATTAAACAAACGCTATTGTTAAACAAACGCTATTGTAGCGTTTTATAGTTACGTTTTCAACTTACGTTCTGTGAGCCTTCCTGGAATTTTCTTGAGAAAGGATGTAATAAAAATAAAATATTTTGACATTAAATTTTATTTCAGCAACTGTTTTTTTCCATAAGTTGAATCCAAGGTTAGTTGTAACTAGATAGTACCTATTGGCATCAGTTAAATCAGGTTAAATCAGTGAAGACCCATTGATTTAAAGTGCTTTTGTTTTAGTATTTGAATCTGAATCCAAACTCTTGTTTTACTGTGTGGAGATTGGGACTTTTTTTTCCTGACCAAGTTGTTTCTTTTAAAGAATTCATCATCATAGTCATGGCTTAGTCTGGAATCATCAGGTTCGGTAAATAAATGGATGACAAAAAATAAGTTTATCAAAATGGCATTTTACTACATCATTAAATTAGTTGAAATAGGCAAAGACAAATTTATGTAGATAAAGCCAAGTAAAAATATTAATTAGTTTCTATGATATGTAATAACCAGCTTGGTGTTTGTCTAGCATTTCTTCTATCAAGGACAGTGAATCAAGGAAAAAACAGTAAAAAACATAACCTAATGGTTATGTTATCCCATGATGAGTTCAGTTTTGTAATTCTTATGTTGTGATTTTAGTCTTTTAATCTGAAGGGAAGAAATTCCCTGTATGCTTGAATATTTGGGGGTGCATATTTTATTTGTTAATCTATTTTTCAAATAGGAAAAATACTGATTGTATTTCTCCTTAAGGTCATGTTTGTATTGTAAAACAGTTGTTAAATAAACACACTAACTTAGGTAAACACAGGTTTTCCAAACCCTTTCATTTTCATTTATTTGTATTTCATCTGTGGCTTATATTTCTTTAACCTTCCAATGCTTTAATTTTTACGTTGATATTTTATTAGTAAAATATCAGTAAAAAGAAAGAAAAAAAGAACAGTGATTTGAAATCCAGGTAACAAAACAAATGCATTGGAAATGAGGTGCGCCCTCACGAGCATTATTTTATTTGCTGTAGCGTGAGGCTTAATGGAAAATCCTTGCTTTTTCCCCATATGATAATGTAGTTTCAGGGGTGGGCTTCTACTGGTTCTGTCCACTTCTGTAGAACCAGTTGCTATGAAAAACAGCAAACAGAGCATACATAGAACCGGTTCTATGTCTACTGCTGTTTTGGCCCAACCGCCCACCCGGGCTCTTACCTGACTTTTATTTCCTGTGTTTTCAACCGCACCTGCTTTGCGTGATACAGCTGCGGTTGAAAAAGCAGGAAAAAAGTGCTTTTTCAACCGTTGCACACCCATGTGCAGTGCTGCTCAGCTGTCCAGGTAGCTAGATGAGGACGATATACATGCACGTAAAATCACCGAACCGATAGTTACACTGGTCGGTAGTAGCCGGTAGTTACACTGTGTAGTTTCTCTATATATATTGGTACAGCCAACATTTGTCTACGAAATGATATATTAAATGGCTAAACACACTAATAGCAAAAACGATAAGCAGTTCCCCAAAAACATGGATATTGTCTTTTACAGGTTTTGAAGGCAGAGAGAAAAACACCCTTTCTTCACATTGGAGCACTTTTGAAAAAGCTTGCCTCCATGGAAGAGGTGCAAGATTTAGCAGAACAGCCAGTGAGTATACAAAAGAAACAACAAAAGCGAGGGAAAAAGGGCTTTCTCTTTCTATGGAATTTGCTAGAGAATAGCTTATGCATAGCATAGTTATGCTTAGTTAACTAATAGCTTAGTTTGCAGGAGTAAAAAATAAAGGAATCCAGCACAGATATACAATTGAAGAAAAAGAAAGAACAGCTAGCTAACATTTCCATACATAAAACTAGTTACCTGTCTGATACCATCATTTGAATTTCTCAGAGTTCTAAATCTCTGCGAACCCCAGTAAAAGGAAAAGATTTGGATGACATCAATAAAGCCCTAATAATGCAGTGCAAATGTCATACTTTTGTGTTTTTGTATCATGTATCTGACATTATCATATTTTAACTATAAAAATGGAGAATAAATTTTCTAAATAAGTAATGCTTCTATTTATTCCTGTCCACTGGCCAAAATAAAGGAAGATGCTAAATTAAGATGCCTTAAGTTAACAAGCAGCCATTTTATCTAAAATGCCAATGAAAAACCATTTTAATAATTAACATTTGCATACTAATTACCAATAGTAATGCAACTGTCCCAGTAAAGAGTCCCTAGGAAGAACAGGAAACCTATAGCAAACACATTTTGACTTTTTGTATTTCACCTCAAATTTCCCCTTACAACAAATAGACCTTTATCCAATTCTGAAAGGAACAGGAAGAAGTAATGGACCTGAAGTATTCTGGGAGCAAATAGGTGCACAGCTGTGTTTCTTTTTCTTGCTAATGAGTACGAACATTACTGGGAATTAAATTTAAAAATAGAAATTGTCCCTTTACATTCAGGAAAAAGGAAGAGTATGAATGAAAGAAGTGTTGCTCACAGTTTTTATTTGCTGTCAAATTGAATAACCTCGTATCATACTTATCTCTGCAGATAAAAAAGGCCAAGATGCAGGAATCAGGAGAACAACTATTAAGGTGTGCAATTCTTAAATTAAAAATGAAATTAAACAAACCTCATCTAATTTTTATGGGTTTCTGTAGCCCCCCCTCACTCCCCCCCCCCCCGCGCAAAATGACAAATTGTGATTTAGAATGTATTTTCTTAGTTCTTTCATTTAATATGGGCTGGACATGACAAATCCGTTAATCCTTATCATCATCTTCAGCTCTATAAAGTTGGTCACTTCGGTTGATATTTCACTGAGAATGAGGGGTTGAGAAAAGATTTGAGCCTTTTCACACTGAATTTCAGTAGTGCCTAAATTTCATTTAGTATCATGCTTAAATTATAGGTAACGCTGAATAAACCATAACTTGAACTTTCTTATTTGTTTAACCAGTTCTGCTAGCAGGAGGAATCAATTAGAAAAATTGAAAAACATTCATGATTATTTCAGAATTTTAAAGAATTTTGGCTAAAATATACTTATAAACATGGGTATTGCATATAGTTTTAAGATAATTAGCATATGTTTGGGATGATAATATTTAACAGATGTGACAATGGTTTGTACTTCATTGTTTGACTTCATTTTTTAGGCAAGTGAGCAGCTCAGACAGTAGTGATCAAAAGCCTGAATCTTCAAGTCTTTCTTCAAACCTGTCTATATCTAATCAAAGTAAGTGCTTCTTTATTTTCCAAGTTGATCAGAAGAACCAGCGGGGCGTTCGGTGCCTGAATTGTGTCTGTAACATAACCCTTTTATTTGATAGTTTGATTTGGTATCATCTACAATGATGATACTATGCTGGGCAGCTCCTAATAAAATAAACAGAATAAATAAAGAATGCAATAAAAAGCAAGGCATGTAACAGAAGAATTAGACTAAAAGAGGGGAAATCCTTACAATTACCATAGATTTACAATTTTTAAAAAAACTATATAAGCTAGGTTTTTACATTGTCTTCTTGCGATCCAAAATATTTAAAAAGTTACCCTAAATTTCAAAGTGGGAGCATGAGTAAGCATACCCCTTGTATTCTGTGCATCAGAATGCATATTAAATCTGTGCAAAGTGTCCTGAATTTGCTGGGGTAATGAGATTTCCACTGACATTTTGTCATGCCTCTTCTATTCTTCTTCCGCTCAAGCCAGAAGAAGGTTTGTATAAGTTTTGGACATATCACTTCAGTTCTTGGCATGCATCTGTTACCTAGAGAAATGCGTTCATCCCCACAGATCACCCAAAATTTGGGGGAGCTACGCCGAAAATGTTGAACAGACATCTGCCACAAAACTTACTAAAACTTTGCATGGCAGAGCAGAGAAAAGGAATATGGAAGTTTTGCTCTTAGAAATATTGCATGAAGTTTAAAAGGTTGTTTTGCTTGAGTGTTCCTTAAATGTTTCCTTTGAAGGTTTGTACAGACCTAATGCAAATTACAGTTAAACACAGCCAACCACTTTAATGCCATGGTTTGTGTTAAATAACTTTTAAGGTAATTTTTAAATATTATATTTTGCAGTCATGCCATGTACGGACTACATCTCAAGGTCATCAAACGACTATACCTCACAGATGTATTCTGCAAAGTAAGTTGAACTAAGTGGCTCATTTCTCCAAAATGTCACAGCAGGAATCTTACTGGATGTTTGGTTCATGTAGATGTTTAATTGCATAATACAACATTTCTTTTTGAGTTCTGTGGCATCTGTGTGCATAGGTCCTTAAAGGAATTGGCCCTGTTCTTTGAAGCCTTTGCCTTCTTTTCTGACCAGGTGGGAATATTTGACCTAACAATTATAGTGCCCCTCCATTGACTGCCTTTGCCTTGCCTGTACATATATACCCAAGACTAAGCAAGATTCTAATATTTCTTAGCTGGTATCAATCTGTAATTTGGATTTCATGGAGTATGGGATGGCACAGAACATAAAAAACTTCACCAATCTGTGCACAACCCAGAAGGAAGGCACAGCATTCAGCAGTAGATTTGGGAGGCAACATGTTAGTCGTTCTCTCTGGGTTCTCTGGCAGCCGTGATGTTACCCACATCTGCTACAGTTTCCTTCCTTATCAAGAGATCAAATGTTGAGAGGAAAAGGAGGTAAGGTGCTTGTACCCCTTTTTCTCCCTGGCTGCTGTTTTAATATTATTGAGGTACTGTTAAGTTGCAAGAGGAGAGTTCTCCCTGTTTATGTAGCAATCTCCCATATCAACAAAGTCTTTTTCTTTTTTTGTAGGCCATATGCACACGTCCTTTCTGTACCTGTTTCTGAGACGATGGCCTCTTATTCTGGGCAGACTCCATATCAAACCCTCCCACAGTCCCAGACATACGCTGTTTATCCCCAGACCACCCAAGCCTACGGACTACCTCCTTTTGGTAAGGTTGGCCGGGATCTCTACAGGGCCTTGTAGTCATCTGAGAAGTTTTGCTGTTACATGTAAGGTGTCCTCTCCAAAGTGCTTTATGTCAGAGGTCTCCAACCTTGGCAACTTTATGACTTGTGGACTTCAACTCCCAGAGTTCCTCAGCCAGCAAAGTCCACAAGTCTTAAAGTTGCCAAGGTTGGAGACCCCTGCTTTATGTAACTGTATTACAAATAGGTATGTTTCGATTATCTATAAGCTTAGAACACGCAAGTTGCATAACTTGTGAAACAAGTAGTCTTCAACTTACAATCACAGTTGAGCCCCAAAATTTCTGCTGCTAAGTGAGAGATTGCTTAATAGAATTTTGTCCCATTTTTATGAACTTTCTTGCTACAGTTCTTAAGTGAATCACTGCAATAGCAAAGTTAGTAACACGGTTGTTAAGTGAATCTCGCTTCCCCGTGGACTTGGCTTGTCAAAAGGTGGCAAAAGTTGATCCCATGACCCCAGGACAGTGCAACCGTCATAAATGTGAGTCAGTTGCCAAGCACCTGAATTTTAATCATATGACTATGGGGATGCTGCAACGGGCATAAGCGTGAAATACACTCGTAAGGCACTTTTTTCAATGCCGTTGTAACTTTGAATGGCCAATAAATGAACTGTTGTAAGTCGAGGACTGAACCCAGCCACAATTATCAACAGATGACTAGAATAGAAGAGAACTTATATAGCAATAGCACTCAGCTCTATATACCGCTTCATTCATAGTGCTTTACAGCCCTTTCTAAGCGGTTTGCAGAGTCAGCATATTGCTCCAACAATCTGGGTGTACTCATTTTTACCAAACCTCGGATGGATGGAAAGCGGAGTCAACCTTGGCTATGGGCAGAGTTAGCCTGGAATGCTGCATTCTAACCACTGCACCATCATGGCTCTCAGGAAGATTGCAGAAGAGAAATGGGCCCTGTTGCATTTCATGTGACAGAGCATAAATTGGCCAATTCAATGCCATTTGTTTTGTTTGTATTCTGAGGGCTGTACTCTTTTGGTGTACTCCTGTATGCCTAAGTATGATGTACTTATCTATGATGTATCTGTTCTTTGCCCCAGAGCAATTATAGAAGGAGGTAAAACTGCCCAACTGAGTCACGATGTCTTGCGGTAGGGAAAACACTAGTAATCCAGGGGCTTTGAGCTTAGGAGGAGTGTGGTTAGCAGTGCCTGCACAATTCTCTTTTCTTAGGAAAGCTTGGGAATTAACCTTACCGCATCTCTTCTGATTTATTGTCTAGCTTTCCTTTTTCTTCCTCCTTGACCCTGCTGCTTCACTCCCTTCCCCGCTTCTCCAGGCTTAGACCTCAGACTTGCACATGCGAATTTAACAACTCTCTACCTGTAAGTGGCAATTGTGTCACTTGTTCACATCGGCGAGAAGAGTTTGGTGGCCTGGCTGACCACAGCCAGCTTTGTTTATAATGGGTGCAATTTATCTGATTCAGGTGCACTGTGGCCAGGTATGAAACCTGAGAGTGGTTTAATTCAGACTCCATCTCCAAGTCAGCACAGTGTTCTTACCTGCACTACAGGGTTAACCACAAGCCAATCCAGCCCAGCACATTATTCTTACCCTATTCAAGGTAAAGGTCGGCATGGTTTTTTATTTATGTACCTCTTCCTGTAACCTGGTCAAGAAGCCACAAAGAGGCCAGCACGTTTTCGTCTCTTTTGTGCATGCTTCTCTTTGCTTGGCGAGCTCTGCTTCTGCCACCTTTCTTGCTCACCATTTGCCTGCTTCTCTGCTCTCTACCAGGTGAATTTTACCATGCTCTGCTTTCAAAACCCTCATAGAAATGGGGAAAAAACCATCCGGGGTATGGGTCACGTGCATGTATAGAAATATTTAAAAACCAGTGGTAATAATAATCTCCTTATTCAGCATGCAGTGTTTGCCATGTGCTTAAGTTACAAGAAATGCATAAAAGGTTAGCTTTGTCAACCTGCCGTAACTACTGATTTCTCTCAACAATAAGTCCCTTTTTAATCAGAAGTTTTCAAAGTTGCGACAGAACTATTCAGATCCTTTACTCAACCTGCCATTAAATTGCGAGGAATAGAATGTGCTTTTGGTTTCTAATAAGCAGTTGTCATTTAAAAAACAGAGGGGAACCTCAGCTCGTTGAATGGGCTGAATACGATTCAGAAATACACGGTGGTAAATTGCATTTAAAAATACAACATAGCATTAAGTGACTTTAGCTATTACCAAGCAGGTGTCTGACTAATTGCAAGCAGGGTGAAAATGGGAGAAGGAAAAACTGGAGTGTTTTTTCCAGGCAGATTCTGTGACATTGTGGCATCCAAAAAAACAAACAAACCTCAAGCAACTCTGAATATTTGATTCCCTGCAGAAATAGGAAGGGAATGCTGTCAGATTGCTGCAGTACATCTTACTCGAAAGGAGCATCCCTAAGTGGATTGTGTCAGTTTGCAGAATGACAGGAACAACAATGTGTGTGTGTGTGTGTATATTTGTTTTTCATTTGTTGATTAAGAATTGTAAGTTTTAAGGTGTCAGCAGAATATAGCTGATGAAATAAAGTAATTTTATATTGCATTGAAGTAGGTCATCCACTTTAAGGATTACATTGTTTACTTAAAAGTCCTCTTGGGGGTTGTGGGTAGCTGTTGTTTGGGATAAAGATGCAGTTTCCATTAGCATCCAGTTTATAATCCCTTCAGCACTGAACTTCTTCACAAGGAGATGGTTCTTTTATTCATTTATTGTGTCTGATTTAGAGTGGACCATCTTTAAGTGCTTTTGCTTTCAGTGGATTTAAGCTTGCAAAACTCTGGCTTGGATCTGGAATGGAACAAATTAACAAATCTGTTGTGTGTGGAAATCCTTAATAATCAGCATGATGTGCAAGATGGAACAACATACACCATAGTACGTTTTGTACCCTAATGAGGAAACTTGTCCTATTTAAAAGGTTCCCTTCATACTATTCTCTTAGCTGTCTTCCAGGTTCCATTTTTCTTTTCCAGCTGATACTTATGATTATTAAGCATACTTAGTTTTCCTAAGGCTATTTCTGATTTGGGTGCCCTGTTGATTTATTTTGGGAGGTAGTGAGTCTGAAAAGACTTACCCATAAAGTGACAACATCTGCCTGTTTTCAGTGGCCCTCTTTTAAGTTCTGGTCCTCTTAGAAGCAGGCCGAATGGTAATGATGTTGATTCAAGCAAAGTTAGCCACATTTGGTCCCATTGAAATCATGGGACAAGTTAGTAATGCAACTGATCGCACTTCAACTACCAACGCAATCCTACACATTACAGTTTCCTAAACTGATGCCCTCTACATATTTTGAACGTAAAGCTTCACCATTTTTCAGCAAATATGTTGCCCGACGTTTAGCAAAAATTAGAAATGATGTCTGTTTGGAGGTAGTTTTCATTGACCTATACAGCACTCATTCTTAGATTAACTTGTATAAATTCATACACTTAAATTTCAAAATTTAATACAACTAATGGCTTATGCTGTGTTTTTTTTTGGTATGTATTTGTGCTAAGAGCAAATTACATTCATATAGCACTTTTTTTAAGTAAACCCAAAAGGCATTTAATTATTTTGGAAAAAAAAAAGAACAGCTGCATGGTGATGTCATAGAGGGAACTCTGTCTTCTTGTCCAATGTTTCTGTGAATTCTTTTGATGAAAGGAAACATAGTTTGACCTAAAGATTCTGGAAATTTTTCATTCCCCCCCTCCCCCACCCCCCATTAGGTAGTTTTAACAATCCTCTGAATTTTAATGACATGGATTAATGCACGTCTTCTGAATTTCCTACAGCTTCAAATACCAATGCCAACTCAATTTCCACTTCCTCACCTGCTGTCAATATTTCAGCAGCCACCGCCAGCATCTCTCAACAGGTACATAATCCTCCAGTGGAAGTTACCCTGTTCATTGTAATGTATTTCATCCCATGCTCCAGTATATTTAGCAACTGGATGATAAGAGACAATAATTTGATTTTATGACATGTGTAAGTATCCAACCCGAGACATGGATCTCACTGTCTTTTCCTGTGTTATTTGTCACAGTGCTGACCACTTCAGTTTTTCAGGAAAAAAAAAATGAACCAAGAAGCATTAGCTTGATTTCAGAATGGAACAACTTGCCGCAGCCAAGTTGCCATGGCCAACTCGCCATAGGACAACACACCATGGCTAACTCGCCATGGGACAATCCAACAATTTGATTTAATTATTATTATTTTAATTGTCATTCATATTTCATTCTGTCCCTCCTTTTGCATACTTTCTTTAATAATTCCATTCCACCATTTCTTTGATATTAGTGTAACTCTTGTCCCATGGCTGTGGCAATTTGACTGTGGTGAATTGTCCTAGGCCCACTTCATTCTGTCTTAAGTATTGTAATTCTGTTTTTTTTTTTTTTTGGCTTAGCTGTCAGTTGTATTTAATACCAGCTAGTTTCCACAACCTTGTTGGGCATAAGAGTTGTTGTCCAATATGCCTAAGGAGCAATAGGACAGTGAAGATAATGTTTACAGAACAAAATAAAGTTTGTTAGGTCAGTCACCACTGCAAAGGTAAGGTTTAAATATGTAGCAGAGTTCCACTGAGAAGTGAGTTCACTTTAGAATTATACTAGCTCCAGGTGACTTGTTTAAAGCAACATGGAGTTTTTTACAGTCCATATGTGGATCGCCTAGCCAGCCTTGTCTGAATTCTAAAAAAGTTAAGCATGGTTGGATCTGGTAAGCATTTATATGGGCTATCATCAAGAAATCCCAGTTCTGTAGCTGTGGTCCAGATGATAAAGTTTAAACATTCCTAGAAGAAGGCAGTTTATATATCACATCCATACAGAATGTGTTATGGCTGCTCTATAGAGTAGACCACATTAAGAAACTAATGCCATATAGCTTATTCTTTTTTTCTTAGAATAGCTATTAGTAATAGAAACTTGCAAGTCTGAATGTGCTTCCTCCTCCCACACTTTAACTAACCTGGCATCATCCTATGGGGGCTGTTGAAAGTTGTAATTGCCATTGTTGAAATGTACCAAGACAGAGGAGGCTACGTAATACAGACTGGCATTAAGATTCTTTTAGCACTTGGCAACTGCATGTTTTCCACCATTCTTTGCCCTCTTTCAGTTCTTAATTTTTTTTTCTTAAAGGAGTATCCTACATATACCATCCTTGGCCAAAGTCAGTACCAGCCGTATTATCCCAGTTCAAGTTTTGGCGTGATAGCACCAGCAGACAGCAGCACAGAGACCAACACGTTGACATCTGCCACCTATCCTTCTGAAAAATCAAATGCCATGGTGCCTACCCAGACGGTGCAGAGACAGTCCTCTGGTAAACTCGGGGGGGGGGGGGGGGGGGGGGGGGGGGAGGTGGGGAGGTGGATTTGTAAATTAGGTCGATATTTCTTAACCTCAGCAACTTTTAAGATGTGTTGACTTCAACTTCCAGAATTCCCCCAGCCAATATGCTGAGTTAGAGGGCGGCGGGAGGCTATGGGATCTCAACTATATTATTAAAATTGTGCTGTAGAAGTGCATTTATGTTGCTCCTAGCAATGCCTATTCCTTTTATTGATGAACCAGAACTGAACCAGGAAGAAAAGTTCTCCTGTCAGAGGACTCCTCAGATTGAGAGAATAGATTGAGTTTCCCACTGAGGTAACCAGCAAGAATTCTAACTCAGGTTCCGATTCAAAGTTAGCACTGCTTTCCATCATTTTGTTGCCCAGATGCCCCATTAGGATAGAGTATTTTGATGTTCATTGCAGATTTGTTCCACCACCTGGAATAAATGGCTTGTCATCTCCCCTCGTTCTGAAGTCCAGATCATTAAAGCTTCTACATGCTGCTTTGCAGTATTGCAAGATAATGTTTTAGAAAAGGAAGGGGTGGGTGTACTTTTAAGGAAAACTGTTACACTGTTAGAGCAAAATCAAGAAAGTGCTGCAGATGCCAAAAGCTGGAAAGTTAAGGCAGGTGCCTCCTTAGATGGCATCTCATTCTAAGAACATTTTCCCTATGGGGAGTCTCGGTGCTTTTTCTGGATTTTTCATGTGACACAGTTGTTAGAATGAAGAATTGTAGGCAAATCCTGCCCACTGCCAGTAGTTCGATCCTGATTGGCTCAAGGTTGACTCAGCCTTCCATCCAAATGAGGAGCCGGATTGTTGGGGGCAACAGGCTGACGCTGTAAACCCGTTTAGAGAGGGCTGTAAAGTCTTAGGAGCTATTGCTAAAATGTCTTTAAAACTTTCATTTTATGCTTTCATTAATTTCAAAACCTTCTTTATTATATTTTTGCAGTTTTACATGGTTGTTTACTTGCTTGTTTTCTTTCATTTTTCTTTTATTAGTTTTTATTCAAAGGTTCTTAATTTCAATTATATAAGGTGCACTTGAATACGGTATTGAAGGTACAAGATACATAAACATTGATGTTCTTTTTCTTCTAGGTGATCCCTCTACCAGTCCATCATTGCCAAGAGCGACTGCAAGTAAACTTGTAGATGAGCAATCTAGGAGAAACATGACTCCAAAAAACAGAGGCAAGAGGAAAGCAGACGCTTCTTCACCGCAGGACAATGAGCTTGAAGTTTGTGTTTGCTATTTTTCTCCCTCTATTTCTCTCTTTTAAGCCTCAGAAAATTGAATTAATGGAAAGATAGTAAAGTTAGGCAATTGTAGTCTGCAAGCTGAATAATTTAATGGGAAAATTGGTCTGTTTAACTTTCTCTTTATCCCACTATAAAACATGAGAAATAGCTAAGCTAAGTGGGACTTAAAATAGAAACACTTGAAGAGCAGGAACATCAGATGAAGTATTGTGATACTTGAAGGATTTGAAAGTTCTCAATAAGGATGTGGGCAACATCCGTTGAATAAGAAATGCCAATGTTTCCCTCAAAACAGGGACCATCAATCTACAGTTGTCACATTGGAGTATAGAGATTAGAACTGATGTAATACAAATTTGTTCTCAATCTCTTGGGAGATTTGTCTTCATTTTTGAAGTTCATAATCTAGTCCCCCAAATGACCCAGTGTCCTCTAACGGAGTAAAATATAGTTTGGCAGGGATGTATACCAGAAACAAATGCCTTCCCTTGTCAACTGTTGTCAGACTGTTGTAATTTTGAATTGTCTTAAGTCACTTAGTTTCTTTTTTACAATAACCAGAATGGGATGGGATGCTTTTGAGGCACTTGGAGTGTGGGGGGGACAACCAACCACCACCAAAATTAACCTATTACCTTTCTGCTTCTTTCCTCAGCGAGTATTTCTGTGGGACTTGGATGAGACCATCATAATATTTCATTCTCTTCTGACAGGCTCATATGCCCAAAAATATGGGAAGGTATTGATTTTTGCTGCTGTATTTATTGTAGAATGCATAGGTGATTTCATCTCTTCTCTAAATTAAGCCAACAAAAGGATAAGTCTTGGAAGTTTAAGTCCAGACATCGTAAAGTTGTGAAGGCTTGTGAAACGCAGATCCAGAGGAATGATCAATGCTATATTCTCCCCAAAGAAAAAGTTAGCAACTGGGTGAAAATTGGTGAGCCCCTCTTGGTCAAGGAAGGGATCCTTTGGCAGGGGTGATACCACTGCCTCCTCCAAGAATACCTTATGAACGTGCGTGATACATTGGAAGAAAGAATTTAATTCATTTTTCATTTTCTTTAAAGTTTTGAGTGTATAGAATTTGGAGGTTCCCTTGCATGTGTATATTTCTGACTTTGCCACATACAGCAACCTATCTTAGAATGCCAGCAAATAGCAGTAGAGTTTTTATGATGTATACAAACCTGGAAAGTTCCATCCAAGAAAGTCTGCAGGGGGAGGAACTGGGGGGAAAAGCCAGGGGGGTGGGGGGCGGCAATCAAAGCCCCACTCTTTTTTGTACCACAATAAATGGAAAAAATTGAGAGCTTTGATTGGATGATTGTGGATACCATCTTGCCATCTTTTACCCTGTCCCCATTCCCCTTGGATATTATTGGTTCTGTCCCTAAGAGCTGCCTAAAAGTATTTTTATATACCGTACTCTTTGACTTATGACCCTTTTTCAGATTTATGACCATTGCAGCATGCCCACAGCCACTTGATCAAAATTCAGAGGCAATTAGCAATTAGCTCATAGTTATGACAATTACAGCATCCTGCGAACAAGGGATCACTTTTTGAAACCTTCTGACAAGCAAAGTCAACTGGGAAGACAATCACTTAACAGTGGTGTTACTCACTGAACAACTACAGTGATTCACTTAACAACAAGAAAAGTCATAAAATGGAGCCAAACTCAACATAACTTTCTTGCTTAGCAGTGGAAATTTTGGGCTCGGTTGCAGTCATAAGTTGAGTACTACCTGTACCTGTATTAAAATAAAACAAGTAATTCACCTGTATAACATTTGTACTTTCTGTAAGTTTCTGTAAATGTTTCTTTTGCATTAGATTTTCTGACGTCTTTCATCCCCTCAGAAAAACTCTCTGTTCTAACTTTTAGGATCCCAGTTTAGTTGTTGGCTTTGGATTAACAATGGAAGAAATGATTTTTGAAGTGGCTGACACACACTTGTTTTTCAATGACTTGGAGGTAGGCAAATTCTGACTTTACATATCTTGGAATGTCATAAGAAAATCTATTAGAAGACACATCCCAAAACCATTTATCTCTGTTAGTCAGATCTGCAATAGGAAATGAAACCAACTTGCAAGTCTGAACTTCCAAATTAGTCAATTAAGATTAACAGTGGGAGACCCGTGTTATTCCAATCTTAGTCCCCTTTTTTCATAGCACTGTAATCAATATAGACAAATAGCAACCTCTTTGTTATTAGAGATGAAAAAAGAATTAAACTCAGATCTAATTTGTCTTGCTTCAGTTCTCTAAATTTCTTTAAAGTATAATTTCAAGGAGTGTCATGGCTTACTGTTTTATCATTGATCGTGTTATTTTTAAATGAGCGCAGAGATCAAATGGAAGTCTTCCATCACCTGAAAGATTTATATTAATCCACTGACACCAAGCTGGCTGCCTAGGAATTTTAATCCATGAAGCAGGCATCTGACTGGGGAAGAGTGCATGGGATGCTATTGCCAGTTAGCAACATATATTTCTTTCTATCGTTTCATTACAGGAATGTGACCAAGTACATGTAGAAGATGTTGCATCAGATGACAATGGCCAGGATTTAAGGTTTGGATCCCAGGGATTAATATGGATAATATTGATGTTCATATATAATGATAAAGACAACATGTATCAAATGTTGAATATTTACAAATTGAGGTTCTTTTCTTTAGTATGACCTTTGAGTTTTCTTATTAAAAAGGGAAGGAAGGATAGCAGAGTAACCAGGAGCATTCCCCAAATACCTAATTCCTCCTTGTGAAAAAAGGTGTTTTAGAGCCTCAAAGCACTTGATGGGCAGACCAAGGCAATGCTTACATACAAAGAATTCAGCAGGATGCTAAAAATAGGACGTGTTGTGTTCAAGCTAAGGATATCCCCTGGAAATAGGGCAAACAATCTAGAATCTATGAACAATAACTATTGAAATTCAGTTTGTGAGATTCAGGTAAACCCAAATCTTTCTTTTTCTATTCCAGCAACTACAATTTTTCCACCGATGGTTTCAGTGGTTCGGGAAGTAATGCCAATCATGGTTCAACAGGAGTCCAGAGAGGAGTGGATTGGATGAGGAAGCTGGCGTTTCGCTACCGGAAAGTACGCGAGGTCTATGATAAATACAAAAACAATGTTGTTGGTGAGTACCAGCAGGTTTCTTACGCTCTTCCTACAGTAGGCAAGATAGACTCTTTTATTAAAAATTGTTGAGCTTTTGGAAAGAACCAGAATCAGCCAGCCAATAGTGACTTTATGGTTGATTAGCCATTTGGCCATATCAAGATACAAAATATAAAACACCAAACATTGATAAGATAGAAATGGAATAAAAGAAACAGATTAAATAAAAAGAATAAAATAAAAAATGCAAATTATATGTCAATATATCACCCCAATTACAATTTATCCCAGTCAGACTCCCGTATGTAGATTTCAGCTGAACTGTTTTATTCAAATAAGGCCCATCCATCCAATTTTTGCAGCACTTCGATAATCTGTTGAAAGGTTATTAGCATTGGGGTAACTGCATTGAAATGTTTACACTTGACATGCACAGTCATCTGGAATGCAACCAAGGGATATATCACACCCTTGATATAACATCCTTCTCTTTGGAGGAGGTGATGGTCTAGAAACATGAAATGTAAATAAGTAAAATAAAAACATTTTCCCAGCACAGTTCTCTTCAGTTCTTTGAGTGAGTGTGCTTCCAATGGGCTCCCAATGGCCTTGCCATCGATAGAATTCTGGGAATTGGCAGTTCACACATCACAGATCTGTCCAGAAAATGCAGAATTTCATTTTTTTTCTGAAGTGCCTTCAGAGGGTTTACTTTCACACAGTGCTTTTTAAGCACACCAAAACTATCCCTCTTTTTAAAGAAATATTATTTTCTCCCTGTGGTAAAAATTTTATCCCCCACTTCTACCACTAGCCCTATTCATATCTCATGAATTTGTGAAAATTGTTTCACAATAATCTTTTTAGAGAATGGTAAGGCTGACTGGAGTAATAGGAGATGTTTTATATGCAGCTGTTTAAAAATTTGAACTTGGTGTTGACTTATCACAGAAAGACAATTTGGAAATTAAAATGTTAAAATAGTTGATGGTCTGAGTGTATGAAAATTGTACTTTCTGCTGTTTTTATAAAGACATCTCCAAATTGGAAAAAAAATCCCAATTTATTGAATGCAGAAATCACAGAGTTGGTCCCTGAGATTAATAACATTTCTATTTCCTGATCAGCTTCATTTGTTTTGTTTTTTCCCCCTCTAGCTCTCCTCAGTCCGGAGAAAAAAGAAGCACTACAACGATTAAGGGAAGATATAGAAGTGTTAACAGATTCTTGGTTGGGAACAGCATTAAAATCCCTCCTGCTCATTCAGTCCAGGTACAAAAATGAGACTCCCCCGTAGCAGAATAGTTCTGGTACAGTGCCTGTTGCCACATTGGTGTGTAGTGTTAGAAGCATCCAACCTGAATTATAAAGAGGTGGTCATGTCTCAGTGGAGAACCTTATAACTGGACACCCAAACTTAAAAGTCACATCTGAGCAAGATAAGCCAGAATTGTTTGGAATGTTGAGATAAACACGGATGACCCTTGTGGTGATATACACTCTTGTTTGTTCTTCTTGGAACAATCCTGGAATAGCTATTTAGGATTCTTGTCTAGTGAGCCAGCTACAGTTTGTTCATAGCTTATTAAAAGAGCAAGCCAGAATTCCAGGTTTGCGTACAACGTTTTCTAAATTTTTCAAACCTCTAGGCTTTGCAGGAGAAGCCATATATGGTGTAAACAGATCTTTTATGAATGAAAGCAAATATACACATCCCACATATAACTTGTTTTCCTCCTGTTTTCCTGTAGAAGAAATTGTGTGAATGTCCTGATAACAACCACTCAGCTAGTGCCAGCTCTGGCCAAAGTCCTGCTGTATGGACTTGGCGAAGTATTCCCCATTGAGAATATTTATAGTGCTACAAAAATAGGTGAGTGAATTATTGAATATGGAAAGAGAGAGAGAGAAAAGGAAAGAAAGAAAAAAGAAGGAAGGAAGATGTGTGAAATCATCACAGTCAAGTATTTATTTGTTTTAATCACAAAGATATGTGCCCCTTCCTGGCAGGTAAAGAGAGCTGTTTTGAACGAATTATTTCCCGATTTGGAAAGAAGGTGACCTATGTGGTGATTGGAGACGGACGTGATGAAGAATTGGCAGCCAAGCAGGTGACCGTGGGCTTCATTCTTTTTCTCCTCTTAGCGCCCAACATGGTCTGTTGTCTGTTTCTGCCAGCTCTTTGACTGTAGCTTCTGTTTCAGAGCTGTCTGGTGCCTTGGCCACCCCTCACCCAGGCACATCCATAGGTCTGAAAATAGCTTCATGACAGATAGGATGTTAACCTTTGCTTTCTTGGGTGACTCCAACTCTTGGAAAGTACAGTATTACATTTGCCCATATTAGTCAGCACCATCCAGATTATGGGCATGTATTCTTGCTGCATGAAGACGGCTGGGTGTGCTGTCTAAAATGTTGCACTTGGTTAGGGAAACCCAAATCTAAGTCCTCATGGACCAAGCAGCTATCTTTACGCTAGTCATACTCTAGTCATACATCGTTTATTTCACTAGGTTGGTATGGACTGAAAACGAGCAGGCAATATTGAGTTTCAAGAAGGACAGTGGGATATAGTGATGATGATGATAACAATGGCGATAAATAATAATGGAAGAATAGGTAGTTTGTGTGCCCTCCGCCAAAGAACTTTTTTTTTCTCAACATTGGAACTCCTTGTCAGGCTCCAATAACTTAAGAAAGACACACCGAGGTTCTTCTAAGCCGTTTCCTTTATTAAGATAAGATAATCTTTATTGTCATTTTTTTTTCCTGCGGGCACACAGGCACACATTAAAAATGAAATTCTGTTGCCTTCTCTCAAATGTGTACCCATACATAACACACATATAGACACGCTATATACATGCATGTGTATATAGCTATACCCTAAAATACAAATACATATAAATATTAATCTTGATTACAGATAGAAGAGAATATTTGTAGCTCAAGGCTGAACTGTGGGATCCTTGATGCTCTCTGAATTTGGTGGTTTTCTTGCAGATGTTTCATTTCCAAGCTAGGTAACATTGCAGTACCCTAATAATTCCTTGACTGTTCTCCACCTATGGAGAGAAAAATCTTGCCAAACTAAAGCAGACTTTTTGCACCATTAAATACTGCTAGCAAGAGCCTGCCTTAACTCTTCCTGCCATACTACCATATTTACTGGACTATAAGCTGCTACTTTTTCCCCACGGTTTGAACCCTGCGGCTTGTACAACAATGCGGCTTATTTATAGATTTTTCTTCGCTGTCATCAAGGGGCACAAAAACGTGACAGACACAAGAGGTCAATGCAAAGAAGAAGACGCTACCAGTAGTTTTTGGCGCACTCGACGCATATATATCTGCAGCTTATAGTCTGGTGCAGCTACTATATGTAAAAAATTTTTTTTTTCTTTTAAAATTCAGTGGGTGCGGGTGTATATTCCGATGCGCTCTATAGTCCGGTAAAAACGGTAAACTTTGCTGTCTCTTGTTACTCTGGAATGCATTTTCTCTCCATCCTGGGTATCCAAAGTACATCACACTTGTCCGGCAACAGTTGCTGTAAATTGTAGTGCAACTTCCCCAAAATTACAAAGTCTCCCCTCCCCCCAACACACACACACACACACAAAAGAAGGGGGAAAAAGCCAGTGTGCAGAATTTCATATCACTCACTATGCCCTCCTTTGTGCAGAAAAAAAGCCTTAATTATACTCCTGCACCTCACCTTGTCCCCCTTGCCAGAGAGAATCTCATTCCTCACAGTGCGGTTTCTCTTCTTTTGCAGCACAACATGCCCTTCTGGCGAATCACAAATCACGCGGATCTGGTGTCCCTTCACCAGGCCCTCGAACTAGACTTTCTGTGAGGACCTGGGCACAAAGCATCTCGGCCCTGCTCCCAACAGTCACCTCGTGGCTTAAACAGGAACCAGTCTGGGGACTTTCTCTTTCATCCAGACCAAGAAACGCAGCCAGTGGAAGTGTACAGCAGGAGGTTCTCCCACCCCCCCCCTGCCCCCCATCTCTGCTTTCCTGGGAGAACCGACAAAGCCTTGGCAATGCTGCTCCGGTGCTCAAATGGTTCTCTGTGGTTTTGAGGGGTTTTTTTTTTTTGGCAAAGGGAACTTTGGGGAACTTCCAGGTGCAGAATCTCCAGCAGCAAAGGCCTTTCTCCCCACGTAGCCCTCGGAGGTATTGTACTAAAGAAGAGAAAAGCAGTCCCGTTTTGTAGAATACTTTTGCCCCCTGCAGACGACTTTCAAGCTGTTAAATCAGAAAGGAAGGCAAATGGATTGTTTTTATTTTAGTTTTATTTTTTACAGAAAGGGGGTCCAGGCATGGTCTCCCTTCTTGCAAACTCAGAAATAGTACTGTTTATATGTTGGGGGTGGGGGTGGGGAGATAACAATTTGTGTTGGATGAAGGGGACCTTTGTACTCTTTCCTGGTAAGCCAGGGACCGAAAATATCCAACCATTCCCTTGAGGCACCCTGGCTGTCCCCCAATTCTTTTTCTAGCAAATACACCCACTTGGCTAGCACAGGGTAGTCTTTTTTAAGTGAGGACAAGATGCTAGAATCTAATTGTCCCCCGCCGCCCCCCCCCTCTTTTCAGCAAGTGCATCCCTGGGTAATAAGAAAGCTCCTTTTCTTGGATCCAAGATGGCACCCTGCCAGTCCACGATAAGAGTCCCCTTCGGTTGCAATTCCCCACGCGCCAAGGATAGTGTCCCTTTTTGTTCTGATGACTTGCACTGCAAGTCCTTTTTCTGAAGCAAGGATTTGGGTAGAACAAGGGTCTTCATACTTGATAGCTTCAAGACTTGTGGACTTCAACTCCCAAAATTCCTCCTCTAGCCATGTTAGCTCAGGAATTCCGGGAGTTGAAGTCCACAAGTCCTAAACTTGTGAAATTTGAAGACCCTTGGGGTAGAACAAGGTTACCGAAGAGGGGTTGAGGGTGGGCTACAGCGTTGCAAAACAGTTTTTTTTCCCAACCCCAGGGCAAGAGAGATCTCTTCAGCTCCTTTGCAGAAATTGACAGTAGAGATAGCATCCTGCTAATGTTTTAAGAGATGCCTCCTGTAGGTTCTCCAGTTTCTTATTTTCACTTGACAATGGCACCTAATTTTCTTCAGTACTGTAATCTCGGCTGTAGCTGGATAGCAACTTTGCACCCCCTGCAACTTCTAACTGCCCTCCCCTACCACTTTCTTTTGGTTGTCAACCTCGAAGCTGTTGAAGTAGTAAACAGAAATGGAAGTCACCCTTAGGTTACTAAATGGCAGACCAGAACAGTCGCTCCTTGTTAGGGGGGCAGTGGGATGGTTCCTTTTGATGTAAGTGCATGGTAGACATTGATGGGGCAGAAGGTGGCTGCAACATTTGATTGTTAGAAAAAGAGTTCCCCTTTCCTTGCTCAAGGAGATGCCCAGCCTCCTTGTTGCCCGGTGTCTTTTACAAATCCTTTAAAAGGATAGGCCTAGCAGTGTTTTATTGGATGAAAATATATTCTCCCTTCCAGATACAGAATAGAAAAAGCCTCTGTCCTTTCCTGCAGATTTTTTTATTTCTCAGCAAAAGTGTGGAAGTCATTTGCCTCGAGGGGCCCTTGCTTGACTTTGGAAATAACTCTTGTGCCTTAACTTCTTCCCAGAGTCCTGGAAACGTCAACCGTTGTGTGGAAGAGAGTGTGTTAAGCCTCTTCTGTGTTGAAAGTTAAACTTTTGATTCTATTTTTTTACGCAATCTCAGTCAGCATAGCCAGTGAATGTTGAGCCCCCAGGAAACTGGCTCAGAGGTGTGTGTTTGTCCTAGAAAGAAGCTCCTTGTCAGCCCTCCTTGCCAGGTTTTGGAAACACCTTTGACCATGTGAGCAGCTTTTGGCATCAGGTTCTGGTCTTTGTAATGCCTCCTCTCTAATGTACATGGGCTGATTTGTTTCCTTAAACCACTCAGGGTGATGGTACATTTTCTGCATTAATTTTTACAAAAGTCGATTCAGCTCTGGCACCACTGACTTTGCTGGCTGCTTTTCTCTTGGGGCTTCATAGAATTTGGAAACCAGTGTGTTGCCACCTTCCTTCCCGCTCTTTAGCTTTCAAGCATGCCTGTTTTTATTTTCTAATGCCAAGGTGGCTGGACATGCATCATCTGAAGTATGTGGGAGGCTGTCATCTCCCACCAACTGTGAGAAATAGGCTGCAACTGCAATTGCATACTGTAAGCAAAAGTAAATTACAGTTGCTGATTCTCCCTCAGGATCCTGTCAACGTCCTGAATTGGAGGGCATTAATGGCTATATAGATCCCTTAAACATCATGTTCTATGTAATGGCAACTGTCCTGTGAACTGGAAAAAAAAATAAAGTCTTTTATTTTCTATACAACCCCTCAATTGTTCTTTATTTTCCCTTTTTCCTGGAAATTCTTCTCAGAATTGCTCACAAGTTTGGATAGCTGGAGGATTGTGATTTCTCTCAAATAAGTGAAGATCAGAAATTCTTACTGGTCTACTGAAAATCATTAAGCTGTGCCAGCTCTGCGTGTCTTTTACCCTACCTTACACACAGGGCTTATTCAAGGTGTTCTCTGTAAGACAGAAAATAAATCTAAAACTCTTGCTTTTCTTAAGTGGTGTCAGTGGAATCTTGGGCTTTTATACTTGGCTCTGCCCTTATTGTCCATAGCAAAAGTTACCTCGTCAGGCTGAGATTACTAAGAGACAGTTGCCATGTGTTTAAACCGTTGAACTGAGTGAAATGAAGTGTGCCCTGTGAAAAGTATTCTGCCTGCTTTTATTTTTTTGCTTCCAAATATGTTGTTTGCAATAAGTACAGAAAAGGCTAGATGGGTGTGATTTTTCTTTTTAGCTGAATACCATACAAGAATTGGACTCTGATTCTGAAACAAGGCTTTAGGTCAGGGGTCCCCAAACTTTGCAACTTTAAGACTTGTGAACTTCAACTCCCAGAATTCTCCAGCCAGCATAGAAAAAATACTGTAGTTCCGGAACTACAACTCCCAGAATTCTCAGGAGGCACAAAGAAGAATTGATATTCTGAGAATTATATTTCTGAGGCAAATTACGGAATGTATTTAGTCAGAGGTCAAACTTGGCAACTTTAAGACTTGTGGACTTCAACTTTCAGAATTCTGGGAGTTGAAGTCCACAAGTTTTAAAGTTGCCAAGTTTGGACACCTCTGCTCTAGGTATTGCTTCCTTGTTTCGAAACAGACATGGCCAGTTTGATCACATTTGCTTAAAAATGACATTAAGGCTCTGGTAACACCAGCAATGCGTGACCCATGGTTTTTCAAATTTATCTCTCAGTAGTTCTTGCCAAGGTGGCCAATTATGCAGGATCTAGGAATTAAATATTGATCCTCCATGCTTCTAGATTACGTTTCACTCAGAATATATCTAGCACACTTATGTCATGAAATCTCATATGATTGAACTACAGGAACAAGTAAGAATAATCTTGCTCTTCAGACCTTTGCATGCATTAGCCCACAAAGAAATGCACTAGCCCATAAAGAAATGACTGGATTTGGAACATCATTAAATTCTATCAGGACCCTCAGCAGTTTGCTTTGGATTTGCATTTTAACTGACATCTCTCTGTACTGAGAAGGACACAATAAGCAGAATAAGGCACTTATATCAGGTACCTTATGGTAGGGGACATACTAGTAAACCCATTAGCTGACCCCTTTGGAGAGCCACCTGTGAAACTGGCCTGTTACATTGGAGCAAAAATTACCAGTTCTATGACCATGGTTATAGTATCCTCTTACTTGCTAACAAGTTGCTTTGGCCAGCCTTTCAAAATGTTGAAGACAAAAAGGATTTGCATCCCATTTTGAAGTTGTAAGCTTCCCTAGCTAATTTCTCTTTAATGTGTAATGGCACTCTGGTCCCAACCAACATAGTGGACATAAAAATGGACAACATATTTAATTACCATTGTTTTCTGGATAGGATGTAACCTTTTATCTAACCCCTTGTAGGTGCTGTGAAAATAGCACAGATGAACAGGAAGTGAAATACTTTACTCAGGCTAAACATTTCAGAAGTGTCAATAAATTAACAGTTGCACTGAATTTGGCATTACTATATATAAAAAAATAATAAACTGGGAGAAAGTTTAGCGAAAGGAGGGCGAGAGGTTAAGACTAGTGTATCCACTTTCTGAAGTGAAAAGCAGGAGAGGGTTTGGATTTTTTTTTAATGCCCAAGTATGTATACTAAATCCTTCCCTAGAGCTTTGCTATTCCCTCCACTCCAACTTGAATCTTGTGTATTAGAGGCTTGAATATGTTGAATATGCACATTTCTGCCAGATATATTTTTGCTGATTCCAGTCAATCTGAATCATTGTGAAAATCTAAAGTAACACTTTTTAAAATTAGCCACATAAGGCATAGGAAGAGAGCCAAATCCAGAAGTGTTAGGCATGTTTTCTAAGCTTCCCTTCAAGATAACTTGGAAATTGGAATAAGGACTGTCCTCTCAAAACTCTTGAAATATAAACTATTTGGGAACAGGTATCCAAAATCAAGTAGAACAGAGGAGAAGGGCTGAAGCTACTCCAGCTAATCCAGATGTTGCATTAAAGCAAAGTCTAATGTCTTCCAGGCATTTTAGAATTCTATTTCCATCAGTCCCCATATCAAGCCATAGATAATTACAGTGAACTACCAGGTTTATAAACTTCCTCATCTCAATGAGATTGGAAATGTCTCAGCACCATGAACTATAGCATATTCTAAACTATAGCTCATCTTCAAAGTGGTATATTAAAGTCAGTTTATAGCTTACGCTTTAAGGATTATGTGTTTTTCCAGATAAACTATGATATCCATAGAAACCTTGATGTCATAGTTCAGATACTATGGCAAGAACTAGTTAAAAAGGAGAAGTGGCAGTTTGGAACCTTTCTGATGGACACATTAAAGAAAAGGGGAAGCATATGACCATTTCAACTAATTTTTTCTCGTGTAACATCAGAACACGGGCAGGTGGGAAGTCAAGTACAGTGAAGTGAAGGCCTGAATTTAAGATTAAAGATATAAAGTTTGAAAAGTGCGCCAGAACTTAGAAGTATTGCAATCCACCATACGGTGCAAGTCATAGAATCCAGATTAGAGACATCAAAAACAATAATGATGTACCTATGAACATCTGAATTTGCTAACTACATTTCCTAGCATTCTTCAACTTAGGCCTTGTTTGGCCATACCTGCTGATGTTGCATCATATCTTCTACCCCCTGCTAAAGATTCTCTTCAACAATCTCATCCTTAACTAATAACATTTCCTTCCTAGCTTATTTGATTTAGCTTATGTTGCTAATCCTGGAAGAAACATAGACATGATTTCAGCTGGCAAACTGGTACAAATGTTTTCTGAATCTAATTCAACTATAGTCTTGTCTTGGCTGCCCTAAACAGCATGGCTCATAGATACATATCACTGATGGTCCCATTCTGTTGGTGCTGAGTCTCCTCTGCCAAAGGGCCAGCAAAGAAGCTCCAAGAGAGTCTATATGTCCGATGGTTGATGATGGGTTTTTTTATAACCATTTGCCGGAACACAACAGCATCATTGCTGTCTACTTCATCGTAATCCGTAATGAGTGCAGTTTTCATAGTGGGATGAAAACACTTGTAATAGACGCATTTAAAGAAAATGCCAAGGGCATAACAGACCAGGGCAGCCAGAAGTGCAAAGCACACTTGGGAATCCCAACTCAAGGGAATTCTGTACCACCACCACGACACAATCAGGATGCCATTATCCACAAATAGGAAAACGTGGTAAATAGCTGAGCGGTGGCGTGTTTTCCCCTCGGCCACATTGAACCAGCA